GTACCGTCCTTTTTTTGATATAATCATCCTTCTTACATTTGAATTTGGATCCTCACCTTTTACCACTAGACTCATTAGGTGTCTACACATGAAGTCTATATGAATCCTGCAGCTCTCAAGAAACTTTCCACGGGAGTTTCAGGAGGTAGATGGGGTGTTTTTTAGGAGACAAAGTGTAAAAATGGAAACAATGGATGTGTGCTCGCATTGATGGAGAAGAACTCCTGGGTGAAGCAGCAACAAGATGTCAGAACGAGCCATTTATCAGCCTCCTCCTCATATGTTACGGTGAAACTTGGTCCATGTTCAGAGACGCTCAAGAGTCCTACTTAGTGTTTGGGGTCTTCAGGTTCTTCAAGATCTATATACCCACCTCCAGCCAAAGTGCAGAAGTCTGCTGATGTCCCTCCAGCAGACGGTCCACCAGCTTGTCACCTGTGTTATTATTATGGCTACAGATCTATTATTTATTTAGTCCATGTTTTCTTATTTGTCAGAACATTCATCTCCAACTTTTGCTCCTGCACTGATCTGCTCATTCAGTGTGATCAAACTTCCAGTTTTGTTTAAAAAATATATTTAAAAAACAGCATCTGGTGCTCAACGCCACCAGAAACCTCGACAGCTTCGCCAGATGCTACAGCTGCCTGGTGCTTTGCTAGCAAAGGCAAGCCCTTCARTTGAAAAAACAAAAAACAAACTATTTACAAACAGGCCCAGGAGCAAGATGCTACCTAAGGCACCAAACCTTTCAAGATGGTAAGGTATTTCCACCCTGCAGGAAACAGGGCTGCAGGACTCTAGTCGACCATAGCTCAGCGCTACACATTCTCCTCTCGTCACTGAGCTCCTCCATCCACATGACAGAGAGGGGAACACAAAAATGACTCARYCTGCAACTGAAAATATAGATGGAGGACCTCAGTTTAGCTTGGTTGTCGCACTAGCACCGAGCTAATGCATATAAGGCAATATCGTGTCAGCGCTAGCACAAAGACTAACAGGCTAAGCTGAGGTTCTTCTTCCATGAAGCAGCTCTGTTGTCCTCCATCTATATTTTCAGTT